AAAAAAAAAAATTTAAAAAATGTTCACTGAAGTTGTTTATCGGGGCCACTGTGTTTAGTATTTCTTTTTCTTGTTTTAAAATTTCTTTATTTATTTTTGAAAGAGAGAGAACAAGTGGGGGAGGAGCAGAGAGAGGGGGAGAGAATCCCAAGCAGGCTTCATGTTGTCAGCACAGAGCCCAACGTGGGGCTCCAACTCACAAACCGTGAGATTGTGACCTGAGCCAAAGCCAAGAGTTGGACACTTAACTGACTGAGCCACCCAGGCACCCCCCTGTTTAGAATTTCTTAACCATAAAGCCTGGAAAGTTGTGGTTACTTGATGTTTGAGAACACATACTTATCTTTCAGAGTCCCTTCCTTGGCCCTGCCAGTTAAAGAGTCAGAATTAAAGTCACCCTGCAGGTGACATGTTACTGCACTGTGAATGGTTTACTGGTCTGATGACCTCTTTATGCAATTACCTCTCGAATGTTTGCCATTTTGGTTTAGAGTTTCATTTTTTTAAGTTTTTTTTTTTTTTATTTAAATCCCAGGCAGTTAACAAAAGTGTTAAATTGGTTTCAGGTGTACAGTGTCGTGATGCAATACTTTGATATATCAACCAGTGCTCTTCACAAATGCCCTCCTTAATCCCCTTTGCCTATTTTGCCCATCCCTCCACCCACCTCCCCTCTGGTAAACATCAGTGTATTCTCTACAGTTAAGAGTCTGTTCCTTGGTTTGTCTCTCTCTCTTTTTTCCCTTTGCTCGTTTGTTTTATTTCTTAAACTACACATATGAGTGAAATAATATGGCATTTGTCTCTGAGTGACTTATTTTGCTTAGGATTATACTCTCCAGCCCCACTCACATCATTGCAAATAGCAAGACTTTGTTCTTTTTCATGGTTGAGTAATATTCCATTGTATCATATACCACATCTTCTTATCCATTCATCAATCGATGGATAACTTGGACCGTTTATATAATTTGGCTATGGTAGATAATGCTGGTATAAATATTGGGGTGCATGTATCCCTTTGAATTAGTATTCGTATGTCCTTTGGGTAAATACTTAGTAGTGTAGTTGCTGGATCGTTGGGTAGTTCTATTTTTTTTGTCTCAGACTTCTCACCTTTTATTTTTGATTTTTTAATTTAATTTTATATTTTTTAAAATTTACATCCAAATTAGCGTATAGTGCAACAATGATTTCAGGAGTAGATTCCTTAATTCCCCTTACCCATTTAGCCCATCCCCCTCCCACAACCCCTCCAGTAACCCTCTGTTTGCTCTCCATATTTATGAGTCTCTTATGTTTTGTCCCCCTCCCTGTTTTTATATTATTTTTGTTTCCCTTCCCTTATGTTCATCTGTTTTGTCTCTTAAGGTCCTTATATGAGTGAAGTCATTATGACTTTTGTCTTTCTCTGACTGACTAATTTCACTTAGCATAATACCTTCCAGTTCCACCCACGTCATTGCAAATAGCAAGATTTCAATTTTGATTGCCGAGTA